GAATAGAGGAAGTTTATTACATAGTTCAGAGATTTTTAAAGAGAAATGATAAAGATTCAAACTTAAATACAACATTTAGAAAGATGCTGTATAATTTTAGCTAGAAAAATCAGTGAAAGGTAACGCCTCCTGAAAGTCAGAAAGATCTATACACCTCTTAAAATAGGAAGCTGAGGTTAAGGTGGCAGCTCTTCTTTCTGAGGTTGAAAAGCATCAACAACAAGGTTACTATATATCTTAATGTTCACCCAACTGGACAGTAAGAAACAAAGTGGGATATTCTGCCAGTGCCACAGATTTTCAAGTTAACAAGTCCTAAAATCGTAATGTAGTCACAAGGTAGGATGGGGAAGATAACCTGTATTTACTGGTCAGAGTAAAGAGAAGTGAAGACAGGTGAGATTTTTCAGCATAAGTTAATACTTGCGTATACTTACAAATCTTTGTGAAATAAAAAGCTATTGTCAGTTAGTACATCCCTTTACTAAATGGTGAGGAGCCAAACAGCTGAATCAATTATCTAATTATGTGTTAACTCTCATTTATTTTGGATTGCAGACATATTCTTGCCCCTTCTCTATCTAGACAACTCCTTACTACCAGCAGCTAGAATGCAGTTGTGCAATTTTGGCAAATGGACAAACTTGATCCATCAGTTATGAGACAGACCTTTAACTGTACTAGCAAATAATTTATAGACTGAAAGATGTTTTCAGAAATAATAGTTTAACTGAGACTTTAATTACGGCCCAAGAGCTTCTACAGAAAATCAATTAAAAAACTGCTTTAGAAGAACTTTATAGTATAGTTACTAATATGAGAATGGCTGAAGTAGAAAACATTCTGAGACTAACAGTACATTACCACTGGGAACATAAAGCACTGAACACTGTGACCAAGCGAACNTTGCTCAGCCAGTGAGTGGCCGGTCTGTATGTGGGATCCGAACCCTCGGCGGGAGCGCCACAGCACTTCCCAAGCGGCGCACTGTAGCAGTGTGCCACCGGGCCGGCCCAAGAAACCATTATTTTTGTTTTATTCCACAATTCTGTGCACTAGAATTAAAAGTTCTAGGACTTCAAATCTTTATGCTATGGAGAACAATATTATCCACTATAAACAGGAAGTGGTTTTCTGAAGGGTATTAATTCTTTGTTCAAAACATTTAGTAGAGGGAAAGGACACCCCAGGAAAATCTGATTAGCTTTTTTTTTTTCCTGCTCTGTTTGCAATTTTCTTATATATGTATTTAATGTCATTTGAAAATAAAACCATTTCCTTTGCTAGGTAAGTATCTTGTATAAATTAACTGCACAAAAAATATGTTTTGAAACGAAGAAAACTTTTCACCAGTGCTATTATGTCATCTTTAGAAAAGAGGACACCAAACTACTGGGACAGTTAACAATATAGGCTTCCAGTTTTAACAAAAACCTCTGAGGACACAATCAAATTACAATTTTGATTGTTTTCCTTTATTATTATTACTGTCTGCCCACAAATTCTGCAGCTTGCAGTCCATTTCAATTCCTTCTAAGAGTCCACTTCATGAGTTAAACATGTACATACAGAACAAAGCAGGTACACTGTAATTTTAAAAAAGTAAATCTGTTTTACATAGAAGGCTGGAGGCAGTATAATATAATCAAAAGTTACAGTGCTGAAAAATATGGTAAGATTTTAAACCATGAATTACATAGGTTTATTAACTCTTTGCTTCAAGTATTAATGAACTATATTTGAAATACAGTC